TACCTTTGAACTTTGTCATTATCTGCAAAATGTCCCACACAAATCTTTACGCTATCGCGTTTGTAATCTTCTCTGATAAGAAAAAAAAGTCTATGATGTCCATTTTACTCTTTACAGCTTGTATGTCATTCCAGCTTTCCAAGTGAGCAAAACTTCTTAGATATAGAGATTATTTTCGTACGTTACAGGCGCAAAAAGGCAGGTACTAAACGTAAAGAGGACGCCGATTAGCAAAAGCAAGCGGAAAACGGTCGCGAAAGGCGACGAGAAATATGTGCATTGGAGCGTATCATGAAATACAATCTTTCGCATGTAGTCTTATGGAGTGACGTCAGAGTTGCCTATCATGTTGTTTAATGTCATTGGTATGACCATCACATGGTAATTAAAATTAAAAAAAAATTAATAGCGGCTGTGAAGTATGAAAAGTTCAAGACAAAGAAAAGAACAAAAGTTCATAGCTCATGAACTCTCAATTCTGCCTCCATTGCTTTGTGAAGGCCAATATATTCCGAATGGCTGAATTGGTTTACCTTTATGATAGCAATGGTTTTGTATTTAATATAGCGAAATTTTTTTTCAATTTAATTGAAGTGATATTATTTCCCAAAGCAATGCTTGAATCGTCTAGAATAGATCAGTGGTGTCAAACTCATGGGTTTCGAGAGCCGCATTGCATGTTAGAAATTGTAAAAAGGGCCGCAAACAGTTTTTGATAATGTATACTTGAAAGATATTTTTCAGATAGTTTTAGTTTGTGACATATATTGTGATGCAACTAATCAGTTGGATTAAGTTTTATTATATTCTTTATTTTCTTTAATTTCAAATGCAATTACATATTAATATTTGCATTCCACTATTATTGCAAGTTACTGTATTTATTACAAAAAATCATAAAATTCCATGTACAACCATCAAAATTATTTTTGAACAAGCGTTGGTTAAGGAAAGAATAATACATACACTAAAAATGACTTAATCTAAATATATGAACCTAAAATTAACAAAAATACTACAGTATAAACTCAATGTTTTTTTTAATTACATTTGTCCTGACGTTTGGCATCTTCTTTGTGTCACCAGCATACTAAGGCCAGGCTGAAATGATTTTATAGTACCAACTCTAACTAACGAGGTCACATGATCATGGGTTAATCTGTATCTTTGCAAAAGTTTAATTAATTCCAGTAATGCAAAAAAGTTACTTTTATCATTTCATGTATAGATTAGTAAAAAACAAATGGCAGATTTTTTCGACAAGACATTTCGGGCTACATTGCATGGCATAGGATTGCTTGAATTATTATTGATATTGATTTTTAGTAACTAAGTCGTTGTATATTTATATCAATATACAAACACATGGAAATTTTCTGTTCGGAGTTGGTCTTCGAATTTGTCATATTGACTGCTGAGCTTATTGTGTTTTTTCATTGTACTGATGGAAATATGACAAATTTTACAATGTGCTTCAGAATTTTGTGAAATGCAGAAATATTGCAACTCCCATTTTCTTCGAAAATGCCACCTTCTTTATGTACTTTAATTTAATCACTCAAGTGTTTTATTCAGTATTCTTTTGCTAGCTTGATGTGTATTCCTAATTGAGTCAAAATGTGAACAAAAAAAAAATTAACTTTCTAAAACTACTTTCAGTAAATTGTTTTCTGTGTGAATATTCAATTTCACTTTAAAAGTTTTGAAAAATCTTTTACATTTAAATAAAAAAAAATTCCAAAATACTATTACAATTATTGTTAAGCGTTCGAGGGCCGCACTGGGAGTTCTCTGGGGCCGCAAGTTTGACATCCCTGGTCTAGATTGAAATTGTCCAAAATATATAACATTATTTTATCATGAATCATGATTATACCCTTTCCTGAATTTCTTTTAGTAGTACTACCAAAATTTGATGAACCAAATATAACACAGGTGTGGTCAGTGACCCGTAATCCTCATTTTTCAAAGCTGTTTTAAGTATGTCTGGCATGTTTTGTGCCTTTTTACAAAGAAGACCGCTTTTGGAATTTTTAGTTATTTCCCTCAAGCCCTGCAGGATGTAGGGGCCATACACAACTTTACCGGAGGGTCAAATGTCTTTGCATTCCTCCATAGGTTGTTCTTCTATTGCAAACATTTATGGAGTATTCTAATCATATTTCTTGGAATCAAACTGTCACTGATACGTCGCCAGACTTCTGATATCTCCCCTTCTGCTACAGTTGTCCTGTGAATAAATAATAGGAAATTGAGGTTAGACGAATAGTTGAAAGTTTTGTTTTATGTCGGCCTAATTTCTCTCGGCCTCTTGTATTGCAGGAGTCTCACAATGCTTAGACAGGTCTGTCCACAACTTTCACATCTGTAGGAGAGGAGATTTATTAATTTTCGTTAAGAATAAATAAAGCAGTCTATATGATTCAGAATGGAAAAGCTAATAAATCCAATATCTTATGTTTTTTGTAAAAAATGTTTTACTGAATTTGGTATATAAACCAACTAATAAAGGGGTGTAGTCAGAAAATTATAAGCATTCGTGGCTCCAAATACTTGAGAGATCAGACTATACAATATAGACCGGTATGGGTGAAATTTTAGGTGAACTTGTTAACCCTTTGATTCAATACGCAAATAAAAGTGAATGAGCAATAGTATGTTACAGCAATAAGTATATATCCTCACTGATTAAAAAAATTTAAATGGAGGTGCATGAACTATTTGAAACCATAAGGGGTAAGTAAATATGCAATTTCGGCAGATGGCCAACTACGTACCGTACTGAATTATAAACTTCGTAGTATTTGACAAAAGCTGGCTTTCCCGCATGTACTTAACAGTGCGATGCCCGGGTGTGATATACAACAATAGTATTTACCTTACTTTTTTCCGATTTCTTTTTACCTTCAATTTTCCAAATATCATTAAAAACCACAACAACTATCGAAGCAGGCTCGAACACCATTCGTGCTATGCCTTGAAAGCAACACACATCGCTCGTTTTCGTCTCGTCAAGTATGTGCATTGGAGCGTGCTATCTAATACGATCTTCGGCCAAAAATGCCGGAGTTGCGCATCATGTTGTTTAATGTCATTGGTGAAACAAGCCAAATAGATGATAAATTTAGTTCAGAATATAAACTGCATTTCGCGAAATTACAGCAAGTAGCGTCTTTCCGCGACGCATTTCCTGGGAACACGTGTTTATATCGTATTTTGCGCTAATACCGTAGGCGTACTGTATTCGTCCTGTTTTAAAACATGCAACAGGCGCTGCGTGAATCCGATTAGAGGCAATTTTTGGGGCATGTTATTGAGTTCACATTCACAACAACAATGGTTTTAATTGACGCGATTGACTACTCGAGACGTGGAGATCGACGTGTTTATTACCCCTGCCCTACAAGAACGTGACTGCTTGAAGTTTATCTCTCATGATGCTAGACTTTTTGTAAACGGGGGTTATGAATTTGAGGGGGGGGGTATAATATAAGGGTTCCTAATATCAATGTTATATTTTAATAATACAGAGAACAGGATATCCTGTTTTAACTATCGTGTATTTATTCGGAGGTGTTGAATTTTGTAGGATATCAATGAAGGCATTGAGACACGACTGTTGTGAATACCGGTATTCAAAACTTATGGTAAACGAATCACGGATTCGCAACTTATAGTTGCCGCTATTCATTATTTTTTCATCTCCAGTTTTGGTTCAGTATTCCACCTGTGCTTGACTAACTAATATCGATCGGAGGCTTTTCAAATATTTAGAAGTATATTTTGATTTCCCTGAAAAATCATACACCAAACAAAACAATGAACACGCAAACAATTTGAGAATGCAGTTTAACAGCGCGGCGGTGTGGCTCAACGGGCTAAGTGTTAGGAATGCGCTCGCCACCGCGCCTCTAATTACTCTGCGTTGGTTCGCAGGTTTGAATCCCATGCAGGAATGGTTATGTGCGAGAGGATTGCTGGACTCCTCGCCGTCGTTGGGTGGTTCACGTAACCGCTGGTCGATTACGGCTTCCTTCACCACCAAGTCCATGCTTCCGAAAACAAACAATACAGTATAACTAATCCCATACCCGACTTGGAATGGTAACCGGACGAGAGGCCGTGGTTCGTCATATGAATAAGCCGTCTTATCGGCTTTCCTCTGCCCAGGATAAATATGTAAATCCTATCCACTTGCTAACGTTATTTGTGAACGGCTTTAATTGCAGAAATAATTGCAAACACAGCTTAATACTAGTTTCAATTTTGGTTGCGTTATTAACCCTTTCCATGCGATTTTTATTTTTTATTAAATAATCGTATTTGCTACGCCGATTTTATGCATTTGTACCCCCACAACTAATCGATCGACTAACGAAAAACTAATGATCCTCTGCTGCCCACTGACGACTCGTTGGAAAGCTTAATTAAAGAGCTTGCAATTGGAGATTATAAAAAAAAGTTTTTTTTAAAAGTGGTGGTCTGAGTCACAAACCGGATAGAAAAAAGGCATTTTTTTTTCTTGGGAGTTGAAACTTTAAATCATGATAAAAAATAGAAATATTCGCTAAATGCCTAAATCCTTTACTGTTACCGCTTCGTGGTTGGCAAACAATAGCATATTATTGCTGTAGCAATTCCGTGATATAACTCAAAATACTTTGGTAGATGGAAGGGATAATATGTCTTCTATTACCACCCAAAAAAAACCGAAATTTGCATCATTTCAAAAACACTCCTTCGTTCCGCCGCAAATAAAATTCCCGTCGTAAAAGAAAGCGAGATTTACCGTCGCTTATGTTATCTCGAAGAAGACTTATCAATAAACTAAAACCAGAGAAAAACTAGACCAACAGTTTGCGACCGATTGCTAAATAAAACAGTGAAGTACATCAACGTACCCGCCGCAATCTAGCGACTTCTGTCGTTGGTACGTATACGTGCCCACCGCATGGAAAGGGTTAAGCCACAAAAAAATATTTACAAAAAAAACAAAGAAATAACGGTGTTCTCTAGTGATCATTTAGTTCCCGTTCAACGAGTCTTTATTTGATATACTTTCTGATTTCAAATGAGTCCGTTTCATGTGTTTCTTGACATAACTTTGTACAGCAAATCTCTTTTCACATATCTCACATGCATACGGCTTTTCGTTGGAATGTGTTTGCATATGAGCATTTCGATTAGTGTCGTGTCTAAATGCCTTCCCACATAAGTTACAGATAAACGGTTTTTCACCTGTATGTGTACGCATATGAATATCCAGCTTGCACTGGTACAACTTGATGACGCCACATATCTCACATTTGAATGGATAATCATTAGTATGCCTTCCCATATGCAACTTCAAAATTCCTTTACTCGCAAAAAGCTCATCACAATATGTGCATGGGAATATTTTCTCCTTTGCGTGAGTGAGAATATGAGTAGAAAGCTGAGACTTGCAGCCGAAGGGCCTTTCACAGATTTTGCAGACAAATCTCTTCATATGTCGATTAATGTGTTTTCTTAAAGTACTATTGTCACAAAATCCTTTTCCACATTCATCACATTTGTATGGTCTTTCTCCTGTATGTTGTCTCATGTGAATAGTTTTATTTTGCACATTACAAAGTACTTTTCCGCAAATCCCGCATTCAAGCAACTTATTTATTTTAACTTTTTTCATTTCAAATTAATAAAACACAGCCTGCTGCAAACTAAATATCATTACTGAAAATGAGAATAAGAAAACGAGGATGCAAATAAGTTTGTTGTTCGTGGTTTACGACTCTTCAAATAATTTAATTGTCATTATGTTCTCTGACGAGCTTTACTTTAGTTGCAAAAATTTAAAAATTGTCCCGCAAGAACTGCAATAGACTAGGCTGGGATTAGTTACCAGTATATGCAAGTGGCATGCGGTCAAATACTTTTGGGGAAACATCCATGGTTCTAGCTGGAGGTAGATCCATTGCTATAGTAGTAACCTTTCAGTAATCGCCGAATATTACCCCTTTGTCAACCGTTAAATAAAATGCCACACATGATTTTAATTGAAATAACGCAAAAAATGTAAAAAAAGAATAGAATGAAATATTAGCAATCATGAAACATGAAGAAATAGCATGAATTGATGATATTTGCCAAATGCCAATGGTTCATAAACTATTTTTTAGTGCGTCACGAAATATCAATCCATTTCCAAAATAAATATATTTGATGTTCCCGTATTTATAACTTCATAAAACGATTACAATCGTGTAAAAACAAGCTCATGTATTGTACTGATTGAAAACGTCTTTCAATGTAAAACTCTTGCTTGTTGCAATTATCTGTTAAAATATCCTAATTTTTATTGCAATGCGTCGAGTCGAGACCTTTCGTCGCGAATTTGAAATCCCGCACCCGTGATAGCTGCATTCTGCGCATAGCGCTTCTTCACTTTCAGCAGTGATTTATTAACATTTTGTTACCAGTTTATTAAAAAGAACTGTAAGACAACGTATGTAACTGCTTTTCGCAGGGTTAAATTCGGTTCTTGCTGTTTTAAAGCAAGAAAAAAATGCTTACTCGCTTTCGTTGGATGACAATCTTTAGTATGCATTTATTCTATTCGCTGATTCGACAATTGGTATCGAGCGTTTCGTCAGTCGATATTTATTGCAATTGCGATCAAAATTTACAATGAGTGAACGTAAAGCAAAATTATCAAGTTATTTTATTCAGCAAAATCCTTCAGTTCAGACAGAACCCGGAACTTCATCACCCAGTGCTACTAGTGAAATTCAACAAGACTCGTCTCATCCAGACTTCGTCATAGGTAGCGAATTGGACATTGGTGCATACGATTCAAAAGAAAAACCCTCTGACCAACAGAAGTACAACTTTTTGACAAACACTTGGAAACCTAAATCGTTATACAAATTTCCCAGAGTTGAGAGGAAAGTAAAAAGAAAGATCAGATATGTGTCATTTCAGAGAAAATGGCTAGATGATTATAAATGGTTGGCATATAGCCATCGCAAAATGGTGGATTCTGCAAATCATGCAGGATATTTGCCGAAAGGGTGAGTGGTGTTCAGCTGCAGGTGCTCGTTAAAAAGCCTATGAACAATTACAAAGATGCTACTTCATTCTAGCAGCGCATGCCACAAAGGAGTATCACCAGCTCAAACACACACGAATACAAATATCATCGCGTGGAATGTTTTGGAGCAAATGTCACAGCAAATCAAGCACATGAAAATAGAAAGGGAATGTTGTTGTTTATCAACATAGTAAAATTGTGTGGCCGACAAATGCTTTCTCTTCATGGGCACAGAGATTTTGGGAAAATTGACCAACCCGAAGATTTCAAAACGAACGAGAATGAAGGAAATTTCCGCCCTCTAGTCCGATTCCAAATTCAATCTGGCGACGAAGATTTGCGCAGATTTATTGTTAGCTTTGGAATAAACGCACAATATACTAGCTGGAGCACACAAAACGATATAGTGGAACTCTGCGGGGATTTGTTCGAAAGGCTTTGGTGCAAAGAATATCAGAATCCGGCTACTTTTCTGTGTTGGCTGATGAAACCAGTGATGTTTCAAACTGTGAACAATTTTCGATTTGTGTGCGATATGTACACAAGCCTTTCGAAGGAAAGTACAAACTGCGCAAGGATTTTCTTGGTTTTGTCAAGTCTAAATCCTTGACAGGAAAATATCTGGCAAACCTGTTGTTGAAAACTTTGGCTGAATGGAGATTGGAGTTAAATCAATTGCGTGGCCAGGGATACGAGGGCGCCGCAAATATGTCAGGGAGTTTCCGCGGTGTACAAGCTTGGATTGAAAAACAATACTCCCAAGGCGTTATTTACCCATTGTAGATCACATTGCCTGAACCTCGTCATTGGTCAGGCTTGCCAAGTTTTTTTAATACAAAAATCCCTCAGTGTCATGAAGGAAGCGATTGTTTTCATTTCCAATAGTCCCAAGCGCATGGCGTGCTTAACGAATGCTATCACGGCCCTCGCCTTACACCCGGCTAAAATCGTTGTGCGAAACGCGATAGGTGTAACGACACGAAGCAGTGGCAGTTTTTCACGAGCTGTTTTCGCCATCTTTACATGTACTCGAGGAAATTGAAAGAACATCTGATTCGGTAACATCCGACAAAGCAGAAGCTTTACAAATGCGAATGAGAACAATTGAATTTGTTTCTAATATAAACATTCTGGCTCACACATTGGCTCTCACCCATAGTTTATCAGTCGCCCTGCCTTCAAAACAATTGACTTGAAAGAATGCTCTGATATGATAAAAAAACGTCAAAATTTGTTTGGAATCACGACTGGCAAATGCAGAAAGGGAGTTCGAAAAAATATTCAAAGATATAGAAACAACCCTGGAAAAGGAAGAGATTTCCACTACAACAAGGGGATTGCACTAGAGTGCGACTGAAGATGTAAAAACCGCTATGCTGCGACGAAATTATAAGCCCATTCTGAGGTCTATTGTGGACTGCCTAGATGCTCGATTTGGTGACTCGTTCCAACAAGCAACAAAAAGTTTTTTAATCGTCCCTATCATATGAGAACACGTAAGTTACTATCAAGTCTATTGCAACATTTAAACATCAACATGTAATATATTTATTCTAATACAACTACTGACCCAGACACAGTTTTCGCGAAGGAACATTTCCAACCATATTCCGACGAACTGGATTCCTGGCCGGTAGTCGAAGCTGAAATAACGATGTGGCAGCAGAAGTTTGCCGACGTAAATGTAAATGATCTTCCTGCCAACGCATTCTCCGCACTTGAGTTTGCTTCGCTCAATTTTTTTTCAAATATTCATCTTCAGCTTCTTCAGGTTAGGAAGATTTTAGTTATTTTTGAAAAATATAAAATATTCAATTTGTATAAAATAATTTAATATTTAAACATTAAAGATTCTGCCAACTCTTCCCGTGACAACAGCTATGGCGGAAAGATCTTTCTCATCGATGCGAAGACTAAAAACACATTTGCGTAACACCATGCAAGAAGAGAGAATGAACGGACTTGCGTTAATGGCCATATAGCGAGATGTTAAAATAGATTTGCTACCCAAAAATCTCGAAGATTGAAGATTATTCTGTAATATTTTTTTTCTCGAAGATTGAACTTTATTTTGCGATACTTTTTACTCGAAGATTGAACATTATTCTGTAATATTTTTTTTTTCGAAGATTGAATATTATTTCATGACTCTTTTTCTTCGATGCTGCCATATTTGGCAAACCTTTGTTAATAAACCATACATTTCCAATAATTCATTTTGCCTGTTATTTGCTTATGAACCTGGTTCCATCGCTGGTTAAAGATGCACTACATAACTAAAATTCGTAATTAGCGATAACCAACGATAACGTATGTGATTAAAACTATGGATGCGTTGAATGTGGCGAGGCGAGAGCGCGCTTGTGGAATCGTAAACATGATTACTAAAGTCGGACGCTGTGCAAAAGTGATAACGCAAAGAATAAAATTATTGTAAGTAAACCGTTGGCGCAAACCTTCATATCGGCAGAGATGCTCTAAATTAATCTTTCATGAAGCTAGACTCTTTGTGAACGCGAAAGCTCTAAATTTATCTTCCTTGGAGCAGACTCTTCGTGAGCGCGAAGTCTCTAAGCGTTTCTTATCATGTTCACTTTCAATAAAGTTTTATAAGCATGAAGATATATATATATAAACATGATATATTTCACGTTTTAAACTTTGTTAAAGGTATTGCTAGCTCTCCAGAATTCTTCATTTATGATTTGCACTTTGTTTATTCTTTTTCCTTATAGTTATTGGTGTCTAAAAGTAGAAGCTGGCTACAAATAGATATACCAAATAAAATCTACTTATCTGCAATATTTATCTGAGATATGAGAAGATAAAACATTCACAAATAAAAGTGGGGTAAGAAATGGGATAAAAGATACAGATAAATAGGAGTATTCGGATCTGTTATATAAATTCCCCAAAAATTCATCAACAGCTGACCCTTCAATCATTTAATAAAAAGGAACCATCGATTGAGTGGCCTTACGGTTATAGGTTGAGTTTACTGTAAAGGCTCTCTATAATTAAAAACTTTTCCCTTGAATCGTTAAATTTCCAAGCATTATAGATTAGTCTGAATGATGGACAATCTCTCAATCTGTGTCGGAATCAATTTAATAGAACCTTGTTAGATATTGAAAACACTTCACTGTTCAATAAATAACTAAGAAGCCGGTAGGTGGACAGGACAGGTTTGACGAAGTTCATTTTGAGCTCTGCGCGTCTCGTCAGCATTCATGCACTAATGATTAAAAAACATTCACTAAAATTCTGAAGCTTACTCAGTTTATGAATAATCGGGATATAAGACGACTCGTTCGAAAATGTATTTTCTCTTGCAGATTATCACCCTTTCGGAATTTCACTTTTCAACGTACCTCAACAAATGCGTGGAATTTTATGATATTCGAAACCTCAGTTAGACTATCCTACCTGGCTGCTTCTTACAGACTACGTATATTTTATTATGGACAGCGCTGGTTTCTGGGGGGGTCGCGAAGGTCTTGCAAAACAGTAAAAAATATACAAAACTTTAGGTTAAATATTGTCAATAAAACGCGATTTCCACTAGCTGTCGTGAGATCCCAGAATGTCGCTTCTTGCTTGAACACCAAGCAAGCAACGTGAGATGTTTATGGCATGTTAACCATTGTGACGTCACACAAAATAGTCTGCATTTCCGCGCCACGATGCGGAATACAGGCGGGCTTCGATGCAATGCCGTGTACGCCAGTATTTCGATACCATGGGGTTTAGTGCAGAATAGGCTATGTTGTTTCATCGAGAAGATTATCATACATCAGTACTACATACTGCAGTAACGTTATAATTCCGTTTTTTTTATTCACCATGGCGAAGAAGCGACAATATGAAAATGACGTTATAAAAATAGGAAAGCGGCTTTTCAGCTCTTCTTCATATAAAAACAAAGGCACGAAATCGAATGAAAGTCGAGGATGATTGATAGCTTTGTCAAAAACTAAACCACGAATTATGCAGTTGGCTACCGATTTCAATGCCAGCCGTCACATTCAGTAAAACTGCAGGTTGATGAAAAATTAAATTATATACAATATACACAATATTCACTTTTCCAAGTGTAGTTTCAAGTATTTTGTGGCGTCTGAAGCTGCCTCGAAACCATGGCGGGATTTCCAAACCATGGCAGCTATGGCCAAACCTATTTAGCTGCCACATACCAATGGCAAGATGCCGTTGTCACGGCAGCAAATTGAATACCAAAAGTGGGTCAAACTTTGCTGCTGTGATCAGGGCATGTCGGCTGTAATGGCAGGTCTGCCCCTGATGGTGACAAATATTGGAACATGGATGCAGTTTTGATGGATTTGGGGTTAGGTTTCATGTTTAAGGAGATAACTCCGCACGATAAACTAA